TTCAAACACTCTTAGGTTTGTCTCTACTTCATTGAGGTAGAAACTGATATCATGGGAAATGAAAGTAAGAATACACAGGTTGTCTTTATAAACAATTTTTTTCCAGCTGAGAATAAAACACAGGGCCTCACACATGTTATACAAAAGCTCTATCACTGAGCTAAACCCCCAGCCCAACAAGCTGTCTTTTTAAATACATAAGAGTAGCATATAACCTGTCACATTATCGAAACTTTATATATGTTGATAAGTGAATGATCTAGAACTAGTACAGTGGTATGTACATAAAACCATGATGTAAATACAGTATGTGAGTAGATCCTAGGCTACCTGATCAATTTTTTTCTAGTGGTACCATTCATAGTGAACAAATTTAATAGTAAGATTATACATTTTAGTTTTAGATACTCCATGCTCCTTTACAACATAGTTTTATCTACACTCATGGGCCTATACGCCCAACAGCAGAGTCCAAAGGACTTAACCAGGAGGGTCATGGCTCAGTCCTAGACAGAAGCCAAGACCCAGCCCAATTGTGTCAGGGATGGGCAGTCCAGGGGACCACACAAGCAGAGCAGAGCACAGCGCTGCTCCTAGCATGGCTCGATAGCTTCTCTGGGGCTGTGTTTCCAAATTTGGCATCTGTATTATTCACGGGGATTGGTTACATTAGATGAAAAAGGTGCCTCCTAGTTTATAATCTTGGTGGTCATTAAGGAAGTTTTATGCTAGATTTAATAAAAAGCAAGTTAAAAATAATTTGACCAGAAACTAGAAACAATTGTTAGTCTTTGACAGTGTTTTCAAAACAACATAAGCCCCCTCTGCCAAAAAAAAGTGACTACAATTCTTCACAGATCAAGAATCACTTAGAAGGGGAAGTGTTCCATGAATGTGTATCACAAGTAGTTTTGGAAATCAGTAATGCAAAGTGTGTTTTCCAGTTCTCTCCTCTGATGTATACTCTTTAGTCTCCATAAAAGTAAAGATGAGTGGGAGATGAAAAATAGATATCTCTTCCCTTATAAATCTGCATTATACTTAACCAAATAATTGAATTTTATGACTATATTGTTAGAAGAGAATCAATATTTAAGTTGAAAAATGTTTATTATACTTAGATCTATAATAGCAATGAATACATAAACAAATAAGGGAAAAACTACAGGTCCATCAATAGGGGATTAGAAAAATGTACAAGTCTATTCATTCAAAGAAATTTTCTGTGGTTAAAAAGTAAAATCATGGGAGAGAATATGACATTATCTGAAAAATATTTACAATGCACTTCAAATAATAAAGAATACTTATAAATAATCCTGTTTCTTAAATATTTAAGTGCAAATTGGAACCATAAATGAGTAGTGAGATTATAGATGGAAAAATAGAGTTTCAGCAGTTTAAATGATTTCTAAAAAGTCACATCAGAAGAAGACGTGAAAATAGTTTCAAATTTAAATAAAACTCCTTAAACTCCCAGGCCCAAGTTAATTTTATCACATTTTACCACTCATAAAAAAACCTGCCTAATAAGCCTATATCTTTATCCATGACTCCTCAATGGACTTAAATAATTTAATTTGTTTTAACCTCCTTGAAATAAAAAAAAAAAGTTTTGTGTCTTTTCAAACAGGTTATGAGATTTATATTTACATTTGTTTCTCTAATATTTAGCTTATTGGGTCATAGAGGTAAGTACGGATTTGATTTTACAACATAGTTTTATCTACACTAATGGGCCTATACGCCCAACAGTCATTTTGGAGTCAACCTACTCTTTCTGTTAAGGTTCTCTTGCAGAGTTCTCCACCATTTCTGGTGATTCATCGCAGTCTCCAGAACACAATTAAAAAGCTCAGAGCACTTCAGTTTATCAGAAGCCTACCAATACAAAGGGGAAACAGACAAGGCCATCAGAGCTTTGGTTTGATTCTTTCAAAGGCTCTGTAGATGATTGCCTTCTATGAAAACTGTTCCCCAAAAGAGGTTGGATCAGTGAATTCTTACAAGTTCAACGTGAAGTTTCCCTAGCATTCGTCTCTACTCTCCTAGTTTTCTAGCCAAAAACCAAGCTGACTTAATTTCCTCTTCACACAAACTAAAGAGAGGAGATGAGTCATACAGTTGGCACTTGATAGAAGACATGGCTGATAAATCCTTCCCTGCATCCCCGTTATTTGCTGTTTCTCTATAAGGTTTATGTGGCAAACAGATGTTATGATGGTTTGGTGATGGAAGAAATGGTGTTGGATATGATGATGGTGAAGGAGGAAGAAAACAGGTTTTATAATTAGTAAAGAACATGCACTTTGTCATAAGAGAATGAGGTCAACCTAATGTGAATGAAGGACAGAGTAACCTTTGAAAGACAGACGTTCTTCAATGGCAAAGAAAATAGAGAAATAAGACAGTAAGTCACAGGAAATGAGAATTTTTTTCAAGACAATAAGCCAAGGTGAAGGCTTTATACAAATGTGAATTATTCTTATCCCGCCTGTTTTGGGCATAATGGAAAGAATAAAAGTAATCTACAAAGAGTGATGGATTTAAATATGAAAAATTTGCTTCCAGGCCTGGCTATAACACTCAAGACTCAATGATATTGGTGGAGTGATCTGACCTCACTGTTCCCCCGTTTGTTCATTTGTGAAAACGAGGGAACTCCTGCTTCACCAGGATTGCTGCGCATGTAAACAACAACTCAACAAAAGAAACAAGGAGGGATGGAAGTCCTTGGACTATCCAAAATGCCATGTAGCTCTTGGCTATTTGCTATAATTATCCTGTATGCCAGTAGGAGTTTATTAATTTGGGTAACACTAGTGTGTTGGAAAAAATTGGAATAAAAAAATTTTTAACTCTGGATGTCATTTTTATGATCCAGGTTGTAACAATGATAACATTTTAATTTTCCCAGGTTACAGAAATGCTTATACTGAAACGTATAAATAAGCTTCCTACAAAAAGGCATGAACTTGAAATGGAATCAAGCTTCAGAGGAGGTTATCACTGGGTGACAGGATTTATTTATCTTATAGTGGTTGGAAGAACATCAAGGAGCAGCAGGATGAATGATCAGAATGAGAAAGAATTTAGGAACAAGATAAATTTTGGGTCAGTGTGGGCTTCTTTTGGGAAAATTTTGTACCTCGCCTAAACTTTCAGTTTTTTTGTTTTTTGCCTATGCAATGGATAAAATAATGAGTGTAATGATACTTGTCTTGCAGAGTTAGCATGTGGATTCAGTTAAATTAGTTTAAATAATACAGAGTCCTGCAGCAGAGTCTAATGCATGTACCCATGAATGTGTGTTGTTATCACATTTTCCCACAATTCCTTCCATACATACTTGCACATGTGGTTTGCCCATATTTTCCCTATTCCACTTCTGATTTGGATACTGTCCTTGTTGTGTGGCCTCCCTGTGTCTACTAGGGTGATCCTCACACGGGGGTATTTTAATGTAAACTCTATCTTGTGTCTATCTCCTTATAATATAATCATCCATTCTTTTGTTGTCTTTGAATTATTCTATTGATCCTGCAAAGGGGTCCTACTGAACCTAGTACAGAGATGTGTAGGAATCCTGTGACCACTGCAGACCCTAAGAGTCACAATAATAGGGGAAGAACACTCTAACAGGGAAATTCAGAGAGCTTCTCTGATGTTCTTAACTCCACTTCTTCAGAACTATATGAAAACACAATATTCAGTGAAAAATGTCACTTTTTATTTTCCTGGATGAAAAAAACATGAAAGTTTTCTGAATGTTATTTCTATGTTGTATGTTGTATTTGTATGTTGTATGCATAGGGGTGTGTGTGTGTGTGTGTGTGTGTGTGTGTGTGTGTGAGAGAGAGAGAGAGAGAGAGAGAGAGAGAGAGAGAATGTTAATCAACTTCCTTTTCTTTTGCCTTTTAGCTTTTCTCTAACTTCTTTTAAATAGAATTTTGTCTCTTTTTGGCCTAGTGAAGTCCTATTCATCCAGTTAAATGCTACTTCCTCTGGGAATTCTCAGATTACATAAGACCCCTCTCTTCCCACCCAAAAAACAAATGGAGTTTATCTTTTCCTTGTATATCATAGTATTTTGTTGTTCTATTAGGTGTCTCTGCAATCAAGGTCTATTCCTTCCACATGTTCCCAACATACAGCACCATGTTTGTAATATAGTTGGCACTTGTATGAATTTTGGTTGAAGGTGTGGTTGATTAACCCTGATTTCGTCTTATTTCTTGTAGGTTCTTTCTTAAGGTTTGCAGTATGTGACAATGTGGTACTATTTTAAGAGTTGGGAAATGGGTTGAAATTGGGTTGAAGTTGAAAACAAGCCTCTTATTTCCTGTTTTCCATCTTTCCCAAGTTGTGTTACTAATTTTTAAGTATATCACAGAAACCTCCATTCCAATTTCACGAACAGTATTCTCTCAACATCACATTAGGAAAAGAGTAATTTGAAATAATTCTTAAACAATACACAGAGTACCTTGCAATATGTTGTAGCTACTTTTCTCAGAAAAATCATAGGGGAATTTTTTTTGATATTTTCTTTATCTGCATGGTGACTTATAAGGCATATTTAAGAAAATTCTATATTAAGGGACAGAGATTCCAATAAAGCCAGTCAAAACTTTATTAAGTTAATAGTATGATCAATTCCTGGAATCTCAAATTCTCCATCCTTTTAATTCATGCAGTCACATCAAATGTCCAGTATATATAACTGTTTAAAGCCTTTCAAATACTCTGTGTACAGTCACAATGATAATTCAAAAGTAAAATAAACTGACATTCCCCACCACAAAGATCCTTGAAGAAAACGGAAAACAAAAACCACATCTTTGTTGAATCTAGTTTGCTTATATTTCAACACACATAATTCCACTGAACTGGCCATCACAGCAAAAGCCACAACACACACACACACAGCAGCATGGAGCTAACCACACAACTCAACAGACAGTGCAGACAAACTTGAGTATAAACCAAGATTTTTCTACCTCTTTTCATAACAGGTTAGTGCTGGCCCTCAGTGTTGGTGTACAGTTTTTATGGCATGGGAAAATAGGGATGTTTCTGCCCTATAAAAATAAATGTGTTGAAGGCTTTAGTTTGAGCTTATACAATGTCAGAAAGTTCCAAAGGCACTGGCACAATACAAAAATAAATAAATAAAAAAGAATCCCACAAACAAATATATATCACCAAAACACATCGCAAGGAACTAAGAAAACTCTAGTGGGAAAGCTACTGGTTTCCTGAATGATTTATGCAAACACCTTCATGAAAAATAAATAAGAGGAGAGGCATGCTAGTGGGTCTGTGGTGGGGCGTTATCTTGTCACCAACCAACATTCATGTCAAGTCTTTGGCCTTAAAATGCATATAAGATCTTTTTCTCCCCACAGAGGTAGAAAGCACAGAATATTTGTTCTTTTTTTTGGGGGGTGGGGTTGGGGGTATTTCTGGGGATTTAACCCAGGGAACATTTAACCACCTTTTTTATTTTTTTAATTTCAGACAGGGTTTCATTAAGTTGCTTAGGGCCTCATTAAGATGCTGAGGCTATTCTCCAGTTTGCGTTTCTTCTGCTTCAGCCTCCCAAGTCATGAGGATTACAGGCGTGTGAGCCATTGTGCCCAGCAACACTTCTTGTCCTTAATATTTTAAGCCTAAGGAAGAGCTAAGGTAAGAATGTAGAAATGCATGCATTATCTTTAATAAGGAAAAGAATACATGGAACAAAAATATAAAGAAAAATTCTTAGTTCCTTCATTTTATATATCATATTGCACACTTCTTTCCAAATCTTAGTCTGACACAAATTATAGTTCATGTGTGACATCTTTATCTACTCTACAAAGGGCTGGGACAGAAAGATAAGCATGAATTTCTCTATTTGAATAAAGGCAATACTTTTGCTTTTACATCTAAGAATGCATGGTTGGTAATGGCTCTAGAAATAGGAAAGCTGCAAAAATTTCATTGGACTTAATGATTTGTAATTCCTCAAAAAATAAAACTTACCACATTCTGTGCAAATTTCTCAAAAGATGTTCTGCGATCCATTGAGTTTCCAGACTTATATGTGTGGGTTGGGGTAGGGTGAAGGGAAGTAAGGGAACATTAAAAAAAAAAAAAAGCAGCAAGAAAAACAGAGCAGAAAAAGACAGAATGATGAAATGATGCAATGTTAAGTCCATATTCTAAATCACAGGCCCCCGAAGGTAGGAGAGGTGCCAAAGGAGGCCTTTGGCCACAGGATCTGGGCACTGTTTTCATTAGTGCTTTTATTTTAAACACCAAAAGCTCTTATGCGAACAAAATGGAATGATTCCAAGTAAAATCAAATTAAGCAAATATGTGAAGCTTTTATGCAGACATTTGCAAAGCTTAAGTATTCGAAAATTTCATGTTATGTATTTGGAATTTTCTCATAATTTTCTGTCAAGGCTAAATTTTTGTAGATAACATTATTAAATCTGTAAAGCATTGCTGTACAATAGACCTTTCCATAAGGATGAAAACTTTATTCAACACTGCCTGATGCTAAAACCTTTAGCTTTGGTTATTGAACACTTGATATTTGGCTAGAATTTTATGCAATTTTAATTAATTTAAATTAAAATTTAAACAACTCCATATGGTTAATGTCTGCTGTATTTGGACAGGGCACACAGAATATCTATTTCTAGATGCAAAACAATGCACTTTAAAAAAATCTCATTAGACTAAATGCATGAATTACACAAAGGTATAATTTAATCTCAGAAGTTCAATAAGTTATGGATTATTTTAACATTAAAAAGCAATGAATAATGTTTATGTTTATGTTGTATACTCTTTTATATTGATCACATTAGGACTTATGAACAGTAAGACTTTGATTAGAAGCATTAATTGAATAATGAGGTCTCTCTCCATATGTGCTTGGCTACCATCTTAAAGTGTGTAAAATTCATCACAGGGATACTTAGTAATTTGGAATAAATGCCAAGAGACAATGAAAACATAACTACATTTTGGCAGCTATCATTGAAAAAAGTAGGTCTATTTTTAGTTGTGAACATGCATTCAAACTTTCCCAAAAAAGCCCTTTTCAAATTTTTGACTCTGTTACTTTATTTATTATAATATTTGATTTCCTTAAACTAGGCATGTAGAAGATTAACATGAAACATGAAAACAGTTTCTCATATATTTTATAAAGCAAGAACATCTGCAGAAACAAACAAAAAATAATACAATAAGCAACCAACCAACAAAAACAAAAACAACTTAAATGGCCCTTATAAAATGAAAGGATTAGGGGAGGGTCTTGAAGTATGTTCACTTACCATTAGTTTGATACCCTGGGCCAAGCAGAGGCAATTAGTCCAAATAATTATAACTGAGAACTAGCTCAAGAAAGAACCAATACCTTTTTCTTTGCCTGTAGAAGTTCCTGATAGGCACTGGATCTTATAAAACGTGGGTATGAATCACTTTTCATCAGTTTGTAAATATGCTCCTGAAAAGATAAAATGGTTGAGGTGCTTTTTTATTATTTTTCAGGAAAAGCGAAGTATTATGATAAGAATATAAAATGTGGTTAAAGAACAAATTTAGTGGCAGCTAATCATAGTAATGATAATGCTAATGAAAATACCTATGTTTACAGGACATTTATATCTTCCAATTCATTATTTGATTCATGGATACATGTTTTAATTGGTTTGGGAGCTACTGAGGAGGAAAATCACATCCAGTCATGCTTTTTTAAAGATGGAATCTGGTTAATGGTTAATGGGAAGTAATGAAATAACTTTGAATCACATTGTTGATTTATACCTGGCACATTTGAGAATATAAATAAGTCTGCTATCTTTTAAAATTACTCCAGGCCAGAAGCAGATGTTGTGAAGTCAAGACTGAGTAATCATCTTAGATACCTTTGGCCTCCACATTTATTGGGAGGATACAGACAGTCCAGATGAATCATCTTCTTGGTACAAGTTACATGGAAAATTGTCATCCACACCTACTTTGGGTCAGAGCTCAAGTCCAAAAAAATTTTGTTTTTGGTGATACTTAATTGCTAAGTCTCCAAATTCATTCTCTTTTTTTTTCTCACCCATGCATAGAAAGATTAGGTAAATATCAGATCACTCATCTGCAATAAAACTGCAATGTTCGATTTTGGTTTTCTTTTTCCAGTTCTAGGCAGCAAATGCAGGGCCTTTCAAATGCTAGGCAAGTGCTCTACCACCAAGCTACACTCCCAGTACCCATTCTATTTTAGTGATGAATGCTGGTAGAAAAAGAAGTCAAACAAAGAAAAATTGTATTCATCTGATTCATACTTGATCTATTCCTGGATGATTCTGCTCTGGTCTGTTGTAATTCAAGAAAGATTAAATGCTCCTTAGTCTTCCCAGTCTAGAGAAATATCAGTTAAATATATAAGCTATTTGAGAGTCACCTGGATGTCTGAATCTTTTCTTTGAAGAAAATATATATTTTAAAAAATGACTCTTTTGGTTTTCATTTAATACACCAGTAATAATTTGAAGTTATTCAGAAATCACTAAATGACTGTCATGATTAAACCTCAAGATCTAGCCAAGGTTGAGCTTTTAGAACATGGTAAATTTGGAAGTGTATTGGAATTTATTTAAAAGTAGAAAATAATTCCTGGTTTTGAAGTTAAGCATTTGGGAATTCAGATCCTGCCTTTCTTAAGATCAACCACGTATGAACAACTACAATTTAGATCAATTTATTCATTTCTCCAATTCTTAATTCTCTAATTTATAAGATATTATTGTTATGAGGATTAAAGGAATGATAAATGCTTAGCAGAGTTTGGGGTATGCACAGTAAATGCTCAAATATACAGAAGCATCGGCCAGGGAATCGTCTAGCAAGCACAGGCCTATGTTAGTTAATTTCATCCTCAAAAAGCCCGAAAGAGGTTGGTGACCAATATTATGTCCATATAAGACATGAAGAAACTGAAGTGTGGAGATGTGCAATATTTCTAAAATGTCACCCAGCAGAGTTCAGATCAGGACCCAGGAAATTTAGCTCCAGAGTCTTCATTGTTAACCATTACATCACATTTCTTCTCACATAATAGCAGAAATTTCTAATATTACATCTCAACAACAGGATAACACACATTTGGCTACACACACACACACACACACACACACACACACACACACGAGTTAAATATCTGAGCGTAATTGGGAAAAAAAAGTAGACTCTGGTAGTAATGTTTCCTATAGATGAATATTTCTTTTCATTTTATTGGGGATCCTATTAAGGAAGAATATTTTTTCAATGACACAGATAACAAAGAAATATTCTGTTTAAGACTTCAGGAAGAAAAAAAAAAGACTTCAGGAAGGGCATTCCAAACATTTTATACATTTTATAGAAAAATGTCTACATTTTATCTTGAACCTAAAGAAAGATAAATCACAAGGGAAGTGACCATTAGGACCAGAATTTTCATTCTGCTCTCTGTCATGTGTCTCTGTAAAATGTAATTATTTTTACAGAGGAGACCATGGCTGAGACATGTGGGATGGGGGTGTTCAGTTAGTTGTTAAAATTTGTGTTATTTTATTACACATTGGTTCATTTCTTTAAACTAGAGCTAAGAAGAAAGTTATTTTCTACCAAGAAAAGAAATAAGGAAGAACATTTGTGTATCTCACTATCAGTTCATTATGTTAGTAATATTAAAAACAAGAAAATTTTCAGAGCTAATACTCATTTTAAAAGAAGTAGGGGCCATGAGTGTGACTCAATGGTAAAGCACTTATTCAGAATGTGCAAAGCCCTAGGTTCAATGCCAGTAGTGCCCCCCTCCCCCAAAAGAAGAAGTTACAAAGCATACATGTTCTTATTTTTCAGTTTTCTTTCTAAGCACCAATACTTTTCTGGAGGAAGTAGAAATTCTAACTAAGGTTCAGAGAAGAGAACACCAAAAATTTATCTTAGGAGTTAAAATCAATTTCCTTTTTTGTAGATGGAAAATTAACAAATGCCTGATCTCTTATTTAATTTTTTTCAACAAAGACAAAATTTGTTTGACAGAAGGTTAAGCAAATTTTGAAATGACCATTCATAAATACTGAATAATCTAGGCATGTGAGAATCTCAAAATCTCCATATTGTAGACACAGAAATGTATGGTACCAAGGTGGGGGTCACCATTAATGTTTACTGAAATTCTGGGTACCAAATAAGGAAGAAAATAAAGTAAAACTTTTCAAATACTTCAAGTATGTTTCTTCATGAAATTTTCTTATAAAAACCTATTTAAATTTATTAAAAAAATTCCCAGGATTTAAAAAAAAATAGTTACTTTAAAATACATTTGTTCTTTTCTAGATCAGTGAGAGTTATTTTGCATATAACCACCTAAATGGAAAATATTAAAAATAACTGCCAACAAGAATGAAAATAAAATGAAAGTTTCACCACTGTCCATGTCCAGGAGAGCTTCTGTGACATGAGGCCTGTTGTGTACCAACCTGAGCATCTTCGAATGTGTATCGTCCAGGTTCCTTCACGTTCTGTGTGGTTTTGTCATAACTCTTGGAATCCAGGTTGATGGCACTGGGGGCTCCTGGAGCCAGAAATTCTTGCCATATTTCCTGAACTCTTGAGGGCACTTCTCGAATAGGCCTTTTCTTCAGGTCCTCCACTGCTAGCCAGAATCTATGCAAAATGTGACACTGAGCTTTTACTTCAATAGTTTATAATCTGAAAAATTCTTGTAATATTTACTCATCATAAACCTCATCCTGATTCTTAACAGAAAATTCACTTTCTGAGAGCTTGCAATATTAGACCTGTATTGGCTTTTCCTTATAAGTTATATGCAAAGGTAAAAATTTTCTTTGAAAAGAAATACGGAAAAGCTCTTACTTGGTTGTGATTAGAACCAAATCTGAGCTCTAACTTTATTGAAGCAACGTAGCACTTTTAGAGAAGCTTTTATTAGAAAGGAAGAGGAACTAGGTCTGGGGATATAGCTCGGTTGGTAGAGTGCTTGCTTCATATGCACAAGGCCCTGGGTTCAATCCCCAGTACCACCCCGCCACCAAAAAACAGAACTTGATTTCTGGTTGGGGATGTGGCTCAAGTGGTAGCACGCTCACCTGGCATGCGTGAGGCACTGGGTTCGATCCTCAGCACCACATAAAAATAAAATAAAGATATTGTGTCCACCTAAAAAAACTAAAAAAATAAATATAAAAAAAAGAAAGAAAGAAAAACAAGAAGGGAAGGTGTGCTCACAGAGCTTCTAATGGGGGGTTGTGTTTAAAGTAGCATATTATTCTGTATTCTTTGGATCTTTAGTCCATTTCAGGAGAGGCATTCCTGCTCTACTTGGTAGGGAAATTACCACAAAGCTTTCCTGGAATTAAAAGAGGCCTGGACATAAAATGAGAAAATGCTCTAGCAAGAAATATCAGGCAATTAACTAATTTTAATATTTCATTGAGTTACAGAGTGACAGCATAACAAGCTTTTACATGTGATTGTGTGAAAGACTTAAATTTGCAAAGGCATCAGAGCATTTTAGAAGCCAGAAAAATATATACTGGTTTACTTCTGAATGTATGTTTATATAGAGAACATTTATGCTGAAGGAACACTGAAGTATGTTATGGCTGAAAAAAGCAAATAGCAAAGCATAATGAGAAGGTACCACGGTGAATTATGGGTTTAATTTTTAAAAAGTTTATCTAGGTTATTTCAGTTGGATCTAGAAATAATCTTGAAAAGATTAAAGTTCATATTGCAATAATTTGTAAATGGAAAAAAATATGTGATAAAGGAACTGGGAAGCTTGTTATCCCCAACAGGCACAATATCATTCTACTGATATATGTGAGCATGAAATGGAGAATTCAACTACAGAAGTGCAGGAAATTGAGGCTGCAGAGTCAGGAGAAGCACAAAGTGATAAGCAGTACCTTCCTTTCTACTAAATTTTAACATGGGCATTAATGAAAGGTCAGAAATCAGTGGGCTGGGGATGTGGCTCAAGCAGTAGCATGCTCGCCCGGCATGCGTGGGGGCGCTGGGTTCGATCCTCAGCATCACATAAAAATAAAATAAAGATGTTGTGTCCACAGAAAACTGAAAAATAAATATTAAAAAATTTTCTCTCTCTCTTCTCTCTCTCTCTCTTTTAAAAAAATCAGTAAAAAGTCACTTGAATTACAATTAAGAGTATCAAATACTACTCAGACTATTGATTTTTCAGTTTTCATTTCCCTCTTGTTTTGTTACAGAGATAATCCAATGTGGACAAAGCCTTAAATATGAAACAGCCATTATTACTTTCAGAAAGGAAGGAGCAAGACTTGTCTTCCTAAAACACATATTTACATACTGTGAAGTCCAATAGGATATACCATGTACAGTCTGAGGCTGCATGAGTGTTGGAATTGATGCTCATATAAGCTGATTTCAGCATACTTTGAAGACATCAATCAAAAGAAAGTCTCAGTCCTCAAAGAACTAGTAGTGAAAAAAGACCACTTCAAAGGCCAGAATCCCAGGAAGCACATGAGAAGCTCTTAGGAAGAGTATAGGCCAGTCAGTCTTAGAATGCTGAGCAGGAAGAAACCCCAATGCTAAGGCTAGCACATGGTTGTAAAGGTGGGGTCTAAGAAAACTCTTTGAGATATAGCGACATCTGAAATGAAATGGACCTGGAAATAAGGAAAAAACTGTCAAAGTGTAGAGATGTTAGTAATAGCACGTACACTCATACGGGATACAGGTATTGCGTACTTGTTTACCATATACTTATCAATCTGTATCTTCAACTAGTCTCCACAGCTCCATAAACTAGAAATGCTATTATATCCCCTGCGTTAGAAGAGGAACTGAGCATATGAAGATTAAGTAATTTATTTAAGCTTGTCCTCCATTAGTGGTATAGCTGAGGTTTTGTTTCTGGAAAATCTGTAGCAGATGTCAGGCTCATAACCATTCTTTCCCACCGTCTCCCTAAGAGCATCATTGCCTTTCTTATCCCCATCATTGCTGTAATTGTTTTAATAGCTTAGTAGAATGGAACAGGCTCATTTAAAATCCTACATTTTAAATTTAATAGTAGCTGGAATCTAAGGAAACTTTTTAATGTCTTTAAGTGAAGTCTTGCTTTCCTCCTCAATAAAATGGAATAACAATGCCCATCTCCGTGAAGTTCCATTGGATTAAATTATATAAATTTATGTAAAGGCCACTGACAAATGCCAGGTATATTTTTAGGCACTCAATGATAAAATTCATGCTATTTATATATTTCTTTAGCATGTGCTTTATGCTAGAGCTCTGCCTGAAAAGGGAATGAACAAAACACATATCAGTAGACAGCAGAGGGTGTATTTGAGTTAACATGTGGTTATGGATAAGCAGGGTTTCTTCACTTTTTTCCTGTTCTAATGTTTGAAGAAAAAGCTCATGTGACTGGCACATTTCCATGAAGGGTAGGTCCCTAGAAGGCTGCTGCTACTTAGAAAAGATGTACTTAAATGTACTTAATTCATAGTCCTCTTGGCTAAGTGGACCCTGGCATGTGATTCAGATAGTAGGTGAAAGCAGGGTGGGGCTCAGATTTGGGAATCAGTGGACAGTAGCTTGCTAATGGTTTATAAAAAAAAAAACAAACCAAGAATGCTACTTACATGCAATATGAGTTTTCATGAGGTGTAAAACCAGCTCAGATATATTTTGTTTCTCTCTAAAGTGAGGCAATAATACTTACATTGTTGGGATTATTAGATGTGTGATGATCAGAAATAATGAAAGGCAAATAAATGTAGCACAATATGATTCACAGAAGTAGCAGATATAAAACATATTCTGGTGTATGTTAGATGTTCGAAATTCTATCTGTAGTTATATCATTCTGTAAGTCATTTATCTATACTTAGCAAGGAAACATTATAGGTATATAGTAGATACTCAAGGAGTATATATATGTGTATACATACATAAAAATATTGAATATTTCTTATATGTAATTATTTAGTATGGAAATCAGTATGGCATGGAATTAAGACAAGAAATGGTTAAGGCTTGATTGAACTAAGGAATGGGCAATGATTCAATTCATGTGTGAAGCAGAATATTCACATGCTACTCTCTTTGCCCCAGAATTTCTTCCCTCTTCCTATCTTGCTTGGATATCTTGTTATCAACAGCTCTCAGCCTGGAAGACATTTCTCCTAGTATATCTTTGCCAATGTCTAACTCCAGGTTAGGCATTCTCCAATACTTCTCCTTTCTAAACATCCATCATTTTGTGTTGTGACTGGGTGATGCTGGTAAGGCATGTTACTTATTTCCTCATCACAAATAATTATAATGCCATTATATTTTAAAAAACTTAGAGCAAAATTCACCCTCCCATTCTCTAATATTCTAAAAATATCCTTTAATCTTTATTTTGTATACATTCTTGCTTCAATAACTAGTAATATGACTTAGATATACAAAGTGTTATTAGCAGGCCCAATAAAACTATAATTGCTAAATTGCAGGTCTTGCAAAAGCCCGGCTAGAAAGGATTCCCATAAACTTGAACAAGAATTGGAAAGTGCTTCCCAACAGTGCATGACAGCACTCATAGAAAATTCCAGATTCTGTTTGTGGGCACTCTGCTCCATTCAAGAGACATCTGTCAATGTTCTACATATTTCTGAATGGTTTGTTATTAGTATCTGTTAAATCTCCTGAAAAGAATGTGACAATGCCTGGCACTGCTTAGTTCCAAGGAAAATAGATGAATTTCACAGGACTCTGTAAGTCATGGGAAAGTAAAACTAAGGTACGAGGTTTCAAAAGGATAATGTATTAAAGAACGCATGCAAAAAGAGTTTCTTGTAGTGAAAAGTTATTACTCATTTAAATGATCTTAAACAGAACTATTAAAATCCACTCTAATGTCTCCTTTTAAAAATGATGTTTTCAGGTGCCCTTTAAATTAGAAAATTTAAAAATACATAAGGATGATGTTTACAACCAATGAGCAGAACACATGTGTTGCCTGATTAACAGCTCTTCCGGGCTCTTACCTGTTGCGATGCTGTATTTAAATGAGCAAAGTAAATGAGCTGCCCTAGAGCTTTGTCTCAAAATATTTGACACAGTGTTGACTCCCTTCTCCAACTTACTTGAGAAGTTATACTCACAGAAGGTCAGAATTGATAAATAGGTGATATGTTTTAACAGCATAAATACCATTGGCCATTCTCCACTTCACCAAACATGGCTCTAAGTGCTACGCTTCTTTGTAGAGTTCATTTCACAAGTACTACACTTATACAGTTAAAAATCCAGAGACAGTGTAAAAGTCAATTATTGTGAGGAATTGATAATAATGGACAGCTTTTGTCTTTTCCCTTCCATTAGATGGCAGAAATTCAATGTGTTCATAACATCATTACGATGTTGGCAGAAGTGTAATTGGTTTTGTGAGTTCAAAATAACGCAACATCAGAGAGAGTGCTGCTCTGGTTTGTGGTGTAAGAATCAAGCGGTGTGTCTTACCTTAAGTTTTCTGAGCTGAATTCTGACTCTAGAAATTTAAGGAACTGTTCTCTCCCAACTGGGTCTTTCAATGCCTCATCCATGCCAAAACCCCATCGTTTTACCCTCTGTTGGCTCGGTTCTTTGCTATAGAAGATAAAGCCAAATATAATCCTTTCAGTACAACTCCTATTTTCTTTTATTAGATTTGTCCTCAAAATCATGTATGCTTTAAAATACCTGATCATTCAGAAGAAAAATAAGTATCTGATTGATGGTTCTTAATAAAATCATGTTTTTTTTATAAGAGTAACATTAATATCTTAACTTTTATTAGATGAATTAGGTGCTAAGTGGTCTAAATAAATTATCCTATTAATTATTTTTCCAGTAACTTTATAAGTACATTCTTCTTCTTCCCATTTTATAGATGAGGAAATGAAGGCATGAAGAGAGTTATAACTTTCCAATGTCAGACAAGTAACAAGGGGCAAATATCCAGACAGTCTTATGTTAGAGCCCCATTTCTTAACCACTAACAAATGCACAATGGGGGAATGTACTGGTGGTGTGTGTGTGAAATGCACTTGTATTCAAAATGACATACTAATGTGTAACTCTGCTGTAATTAAACATGTGACCTATTCCTGGTGAGTCATGACTTTTGGGGATTCCAGGTTCCTCATATGTAAAATCTATAAATTATGGCTGAGGAGTCTGGACTCATCAAGTGTTTAGGATCCATGGCTGGATATGGACGAAAAAGAAGGTCTATAATGCAATCTTGAGAAGGGTTAGAATACTAATCCTCTCTGTATAAAGAGACATGCAATGATCTCTGCATGACTGCCCAAATTGATATAGTATGCTTCTCCTATAGAATCTTCAATTGTGCTTTAGTTTTCTTAAGTCAGTTTGTTTTTTAGTGTGTTCATGGTGAGTTCATTTTGTTTTAAAACTGAATTTATAAAGGTATACTTGTATTAAGCTTAATTAAGTAAATAGGGATTTAGCATTATTTTGCTTGAATACATGGGCCTTTTTGGCTATGTGGATTTTCAAAGAAGCTAATAGCCATGAGCTAAATTTCAAGAACTGAAGATCTGAAACCTGACTAATCCAGCTAGAAACCTGTACTTCTAATTTTATAGCAGTGCAAATATTTTTTAAAATTAAATTTATTTTTATATTGATACATAAAAATATGAACAATTATACATAATTATTAGAGTATCCTGTGATATTTCAATACATGTATATATCATGTAATGTGTAAATCGGGGTAAACATCTGTTTCATCAAATGTTTATCATGTCTTTATGGTAAATACATTCAGAATTCTTTATTTTGCTTCAAGAGATAGTACATAACTTTTATCTATAGTCACACTACAGTACAATAGCATACCCAAACTTACTTCTGTGTAACTATAACTTAGAACCTGTTGGTGGACCTTTCCTGACCCCTTTTCTCCCCAGCCTCTTGTAACCACCATTCTCAACTTCTCAACTCTCAACTTCCATAAGATCAACTTTTTTTTTTTTTTAATTTCACATATGAGTGAGAATATACGATACTTTTGTTCCTGTGCCTGGCTTATTTCACTTAACACATTGATCTCCAGTTCCAACCATGTTGTCATGAATGACAGATTCCATCCTTTTTTAATGGCTGAGTAGCATTCCATCAACAATGCAAATCTTAATGCAAAAGCAAATGCCTGGGGTTTGAAAACCTCAAGCAATATCTTGAATGATAATGTTAAATCATGAATCAAATGTAAAGAGTAAAACCATCATTATAATTAACCAATTACAGGGTGCTTTCTATTTCACACAGTCCCTGAAATAAGTGACATATCTGTGAGGAAAAGAAAATGTCATTTACCTTGCTTCAAGTTCCCAGAAAGTAGTATCGTCAGACAGCCATGGATTAGAAGGGTCAGGTGGCACAAGAAATGGGTCGTATTCTACATACTGTTCCGTATAACTTAGTAGACTAGGGAGGAAGAAAAAAAAATTTCCTCAGTTTTTCTGGCTGAAGTTATACCCAGTCCAAAGAAAGAGAAGCAATATAAAAATTCTAGGTCAAAGAATCCTTTCCCAATTACAGAATAAAGCCCAATGGCAATTTTCATGTTTCAATAACATGAATGCAACAACTTAGTGGGCTTTTTGGTGGACAAATTTAGCTAAAGATTCCTATCTTTATCTATCCCACGCCTGAGCTATTAAGTCACTACACTTCCATTAAAATGAAGCAACATGGAAGAGGTCTGCATGTTGAAGGGCAGCAGGAAGGGTCTGTTCCAATTCTTTGTTAACCAGGAAAAGGGATTAAAAGGAAATCATTGCCAAATATAATTACAGGAATGAGGCAAAAGGAGAATCACTGACAAAAATATATTTTTAGAAAACATTTACATTTAGTTGGTCATGATGGCACACGCCTGTAATCCCAGCTTGGGAGGCTGGGGCAGGAGGATCACAAGATTGGGGTAGCCTCAGCAACTTAGCAAGACCTTTAGCAACTCAGTGAAACCCTGTCTCAAAATAGAAATAGCGAAAGGTCTAGGAATGTGGCCCAGTGGTTAAGCACCTCCTGTTAAATCCCCAGTAAACCTGCCCCTAAAATAAATAAATAAATAAATAAAATAAATCTGTGTTTAAAAACCAAAGGAAGAAGAAAATAAGTTGGAGAGATAGGTTTTGGCAATGCCCCAAAGTAAAGAATTTGAATTTCATTAAGAGCAGATTTTTAAAAAGAAGACAAATCTAAAATTTGAGATTAATTCAAATTCTGAAACCATGCAATAACAGAGTAGACTGTGAATGTTCAGATCAATTTATAGAATCTCAGAGTTGCCAAAAAACAGTCAGTAAATTAAGGTTCGATTCTTTGAGTAGAAGTGAAAAGATTTAACTCCTTGGCTATATCTTATTGTTGACTGCACAAAGATAGAACCTCTTGGGATTTAAAGCAATAATGATCATGCTTCCCTTTAAACTGTAACAAATGAATGCTTTGAAAGCTTTCTATGTGTATAAAGAAAATACAAAAACCAATTATTTATCTTAGTTCCCCTTCCAACAGTTGGTTCTTACTACATATTTAACTGTCTCATGCAATTTTTAAATTTACAGAGACATCTTGAAATACTTACCTATCAGCAACTTTTGACATTTTTAATCGATGTCTGTCTAACTGTATTTGCCAATATTTTATCTGAAAAGAAGGTTAGAGAATTAGTTACACAAATAACAACACCACAGTTTTCACCTCTAAATTCTCAGAGGGCAATTCCAAAAAGGTGTATATCCTGTCAGTAAAATTTCAAAGTTGACAAATACAGAGCACTCTGAATAGTTAACAAAAAATGAAAATGTATTTGAATGTAAACATAACCATATATCTTAAGAACAGCACAGTTTGAATGTTTTACTTACTATAACAAAATGTAACTTTATTAGAAAAGTGTTGTGGAGTTTTTAAACATTAATTCAAGGTGAATAATCAAATCCATTCCCCACAGATATTTAATTAAGAAAATAAATGTATTTTTTATTTTTTACTATAATTTCAAAATAAATCCTATCTCCTGAGACTATCCCAAGAAAGCATCAGTCAGATGTGTTTTGAGAATAATTTTATAAAATTATGACACATGCTTACATGGATGTAAACACATAGAGAAAAACTATAAAAATTTTTCTGAATTGCTTTTCCTTTATGGTGATTATAAATACACTAGAAAATTCTAAATCACATTATTGATGAACCATACTATAACAAAATAATAGAAGAGTCCAAAATGTGCAGGAGGAATGATGGTTAAACCAATCAAGAAATTTAATTATTACTGGATATTAGAAATTGATGTTTGCTTTGAAATATTTATTGAAGCAAAAACTATTGATCAATGATTTTTAAAAAGAAGCAATATATACTATGATTGTATACCAGTGTTGATAAGAAAAAACTTCCCAAGGTTTGAAGACATTAGTACCACACAAATAAAAATCATAATTTTTTTTTTTTGTGGTGATCACTTAGCAACATTAGATATGGGACTTAATGTCCCCAATCTCTTGTCCTCTCATTAGCAACTTCATTACATTTTTACCTGCAAATATTCTATATGAAATAGGTGACCATACAAATTACCTTTTAAAATACCCATTATGAACATTTGCTATCTGGTTGCATAGTGAATGTTAATAGTGATAAATAATCATTTGAAAGTCATTTTCTAGGCTGACTCACCTGTTGATGCAGCTCGTCTTCTGTTGGAGGTTTAGTTTCTGGTGTGGGTGTGTGGGTAGGACTGTGACTTCTAATATCATTTTGTAAACCATAGACAGACTATATTAAAATGAAAAATAAATGTTAAGACAAAATTCCATTCATAGTCACAGATTTCTGGGAAAAAAATTTGCATCACATCTTCAGTAAGGTAGCTCAAAATTTATTTAATGAAGCTTCTATCAAAGTCCAAAAGGCACTGCTATCAAAAATAAAATTTAATACATAACATTTAATAAGTATTGATTCAATAATAAAATAGAGGTGGATATAAAATAAAATAGAAATTTAATAATTCATGAGAAGATAAAAATTACCTGATTTTCACATAGGAATGAAATGGAACACTGACAAGAAGGACTATGTTGCAGATTCTGCTGCCTTGTTTTCTCAAGGTATAATCAGACGACCCAGAGTGCCCTGACTTCCCGTCTCAATACTACCTACTTATATTATGATGTTAGTCTCACCATTGGGTACATATGCAAAATTAGTAACCCCTAAGGCTTCACACACCTCAAATTCTTGATGCTGCAATTCCTTTTTTAAATTAATTTTCCCAAAAGGTCAGAGCTATTAATTAAAAAGATTCTTTTTAGGGAGAGACCCATTGCTTAGTAAGTATAAAGAAAGATCTAGAGACTGAGGGATAAAAATTTCTCCCCAACTGAATGAGTCATCCAACATGTTAGTTCAAGAGAGAATCCAAATAGCTTTTTTAAAAACAACAACAACAACAACAAAAATCAAAGTATTATTACTTTAAAACAAAGCATTAGATGTGTCCTGGAGTACTTCTTTGAACATGAAAATAAAAGATAAGGACATAGTAAATCTGCATGAGCCCTGCAAAATTAACATTTCCAGATAGATTTGCAAAGAAATTGTCATTTAGATGAAGGTAGATTCAAATGCTTAATGGAGTCCATTCTCCGGCCCATCAACAAACTTGTGGGTATCTCTAAGTTCAAATGTGTTTTGTTCCTGACCTACTTTCACTTGGACGGAAACTAAATGTTCTGTCAACATTACTTCTTGGCTTTGTAACCTAGACACTTTGGACTCGATGTTTTTTTCTCTTTATAGCTCCCATTATTGCTTGTTAGCCCTTTTAAAACACACTTTGACTTGGATTTAATCATCTGGGTCATCCACTTCCAGACTATTTTAGAAAGGCCCTTATAAATCTTTTCTCTTGTCCCAGCTCAAACCTATTTCCTGTCAGTGACCATCCATTTTAATACAACATATGCTATTCATAGCACTGGGCTAAATGACTTGTCCTGCTCTTTTTTTCATTTGTTTACTCATTCATTCACTCATTCAACATTTACTGAACACCTCTGTATACTGGATATAATACTAAACATAAGGGTTATAGAAGCAAACAAAACACATATGCTTCCTCCTCCATTGGAACTTACAATCCTGTACCAGGGAAACAAGTTGCCTAATCACACAAATAAGCATGATTAAAACTGTGATAAGTATTATAAAGAAAAAATTAAAAGACCTAAGGCCTGGAATACCAGAGGTTATATTGAAGAAGCAGAAAAAGCCTAAATAAACTGATACTAGTCATTTTTGAACTTGCTTAAACAGCTTTTTGAATTCTGAAATAACATTTGAGTTTGATTTTTTAAAAATTAGGCAAGTGAAAGACCACTAGTTATATAGTTGAACTTTGGGGTGCCTGATATTTCTTCAGTTGTATCACATTAATTTTTGATAAGGAAAATAAGGTCTCTGAGATATAAACTTTCCATTCTTTTTACCATTATTTTTTTTTCTTTTTATAGTACTAGTATTGCTTTATCACTAAGCTACAACACAGCCCTTTTTAAAAGTTTTTGTTTTGTTTTTGTCTTGTTCTGTTTTATCTTGAGACATGGTCTTGCTAAGTTGCTGAGAAAGGTGGCCTCAAACTTGCAATCTCCCTGCATTGGCTTCTAGAGCAGCTGGATTTACTGGCCTATGTCACCATGTCCAGACCTTGATTCAATTATGTTAAAATTTTTAAAATAAGAATACACATAGAATTTCTAATTTTTGTCTAACATGCAGGTAAACACCAGAAACTTCCAATTTCATTAGTCAGAGTGCTGTCTGGGAGGTAAATGAGTGAAGTCTTTGCAATGTCTTAATGTTTACAGATAGGAGAAAGTTAAATCAATAACTTGACATTCATTTTGAACTTTGTGAGCAAAATCAGCTATTTAGTTGAGATGTTTTAACTTGATTAACACATCCTTTTCTCCATGGTGTCTAGAACAGGCATTTTCATATATAATGTTATAAAAATTATTCATTAAATGAAACAGATTGGACTCCATATGAATCTATTCATGTATGATTTCCTTTCACATTTTATAATAAGAAGAATTCTCTTCTATTTTTTTCCTTTGTTGTCTGTAGAGAACTGCTATGGTCTGAATATTTGTGTTCCCCTCCCAATTTACATGTTGGAATCCTAATCCCCTAGGTGATGGTGTTTGGACGTGGAGCCTTTGGGATGTGAAGAGACCACGAGAGTTCTGCCCTCAGGATTGGGATTAGTGCCCTTGTAAAAGAGGACCCAGGATGAAGGTGCCATATAGGAAACAGAGAGTCTTCTGCACTGGGGCTTTGCTTTTGAATTTCCCAGCCTCCAGTACCATTAGCAATAAATTTATGTTGTTTATAAATTTCCCAGTCTAAGATATTTTGGTACAGCAGTCTAGCAGTCCAAATGGACTTTTAAAATAGAGCTTTAAAGTGCAAAGTGTAAGAAGATTTTCTGCCTATGTGGAATACAATCTCTAGTATTTTTCTTATTGGGGCTAGTGTGAGACTATTTTCTTTCCTTCTGGATTTTTCAACAGAGAACAGACTGTGACCTAGTCTGCCTCCACGTGGAAGAAGCCAGTAGCGACAGCTCACCAGAGCAAACCGACTAGAGAGAGGGCCTGAGAGCTCCTGTGCTCTCCAGTGGGCTCCTGGGTCCAGGCACAGCCAGCTGCAGCTCTGCTCCTGCCTACTCCCTAGGCTCCAGTCCATGAGCTGTGGTCAATAGTATTAAATGCACACCAAAGTTTAGATGAAGCTGACAGGGGAGGAAAGACAAGAGGATACAGAACAAGCTGACCGTTGTTTTGGAAGATGAGTTCTGAAGCCACAGGAGGCAGTTCCAAAGTGTGCCTCAGTAACACATGCAGATGATTTTGTCATTTTCCTCTGGCTTTGTGTTCTTGGACCCTCCTAGCTATTGTCATATTGTCACAGGTCCTGCCTGTGGTGGTTAATTTTATGTGTCAACATGGCTGGGCCACGGTGCCAAGATATGTAGCCAAACATCGTTCTGGTTGTTTCTGTGAGGGCTTTTTCTGGATATGACTAACGTCTAATTTAGTGAACTCTGAGTAAAGCAAATTGTCCTCCACCATGTGGGTGGGCCACATCAACCAGTTGAAGGCCTAAATAGAACAAAGACTGGCTTCCCATGAATAAGAAGAAATTCTACCTCTAGATTGCCTCTGGATTCCATCTGTAAGGTTTCTCTGGCCTCTGCTCTCCTGCCTCTAATTTTGGCCTCTCCAAGCCCAACATTTAAGTCAATTCCTTAAAAATTTTGTTCTCTCTGTGTATACACACACACAAACACAAACACACACACACACACACATCTTGTTAGTTCTATTACTTTGGAGAAACTAATACACAGCCCCTTAGAGTAAAAATTTTTGTATCCAATCAAAGATCACCAGACACACAGCACCCCTTAAAACTTGCCTATATTCTTTCTTAGAGACTTGAGTGTATACCTTTTAACTATTTTGTTGAGTTTCAGTAAAGCCTGTTAAAATTAAGAAGTGAGATTTGAAAGCTGACCAGTCTACTTGGGTTATGACAAATAAGAAATATTATCACAGCCGATTCTCAAAGAAATGAACAGCAGCCCTCTTTGCTAAGGTAGTATCCATTTTCAAAGATTAAACATGGTCCAGGGGTTTTACTTCTTCATTAGTGGGATATAAGACTAAGATCAATCACACAGCTAAGAGAAGGTGCAAAGGAGACAGCCCTATGAGGCACAGGCGACTTCCAGGGCAGTCGGCAGATTTCTGCCTTTATAATCACATGGTGCAGCCTGTTCAGCCTGGACAGAGCTGTTTCAGAGGGTGGTGAGATCATTATTCACCGATAAAAAGTTAGAATCACGAATCTTTATTCCTTTTATGTTATAGACTGGGCTGTGTTCTCCCAAACTAATATGTGTGATGTGGGAAGGTAATAAAGATTAAGTGAGGTCAGAGAGTGCCATAATAATCCAATAGAATTGGTGTCCTCGTAACAGGAGGAAGGGCTCCTGAGTACACAGCAAAAAAAAAAAAAAAAAGTGGTTGATTTCAAGCCAGAAAGAGAACCTTTACCAGGGAATGAATTTTCTAGCACCTTGATCTTGGACTTCCTGTCTCTAGAGCTACAAAATAATAAATTCCTATTGTATAACCCGCCCAGTGTGTGGTATTTTGTTATGGCAGTCCCAGTAGACAAATACATAAAATATGTAACTATACTAAGGTTCAGACATTTGTCTGTCTACTTGTTCACAGTCTGCACCCTTATTAGACATGAGTCGTGGAAACAAGGCCCTGCCTGTCTGTTTTACTGTGAAATATCCAAAGAGCTGTGTAAATTGGACATTTAGTGGAGAGTTGTTAATTTCTCTAATTGGTCCTTCCAGTTCCTAACCAAATATGGCCTAACACAGTATCTGCAAAAGCTATACAACCAAGTCTTCTCTTTACACATTTGATAAACATGTCAAATTATCTCTACTGGGTGATAATTCAAGAATTCTAAAGGACAAGTAAGTATGTGGCTTAGAGTCCTCAAGCCTTCTGCATAAAATGTCATCATTGTCTGTGAGGATTCTAGCAAATTCCATACTAATGTCCATAAAAAGCTATACTGATCAAAAAATGAGAAAATCAGTTTTCTCTAATTGTAGAAAACAATGGTATTTATACTACTTGCCATTGGTTTTTTTTTTTTTTCCCCAGAACTTCTGTTTTTCTGTGACAAATTTTTGGGCTACACAGCTCTACAGTTAGGCCTTGCAATTCTACTACAAATGATTGACAGTGAATTAGACTGTGTCCTAGACAAATCAGTTAACACTTAAGGATTCCTCTTTACAGCACTTCAACTTGTGATGCCTCAAGTTTTTTTTCCATCATTAAATAAGGACCAATGATATGTGAAGAGTAACTTTGTATAGGGATACTTTTCAAAGTTTCAAGAAACATGCCCATTGAGGCCCAGGTAAGAAACCGATACTGAATATAGGGCTATAAAGAGTGGGTGATTGATCACTTTATCATGATGAAGTTCTGTCTTGTTAATCTGTATCTTTACTCTTCTGAATCAGAGCATGTCTGATTTGGTGGGAAAAACATGATACACAGAAAGATTTTTAAAGGATCACTCCTCAGAATTCAGGGAGAAGGTGGCTAATTGCATTTTTGTTTTTTAAATTCTTTTTTTTTTTTTAGTTGTAGATGAACACAATACCTTTATTTTATTTATTTATATGGTGCTAAGGATCGAACTCAGTGCTCCATGCATGTAAGACAAGTGCTATATCATGAGCCACAATCCCAGGCCACTGATTGCATTTTTGAATTTTGTTCATTAAGCTAGTACCTGGCACACGGAGCATGAATACCAAGGATGAAAGAGCTGAGTCTAGAGCTAACTGCAATAGAGACATGTAGCCGGGCTTTGCCTCTTTCTCTCAGAGTTCTTAGGGGCAAAATGTTTGAGTATCATGTCTAAATGGGGTGTGTATCACTTTCCCATGGCTTCCTTTTCCCTAACATCAAGGTAAACTGCCTCCAAAGGAAAAAAAGGTACTTGTGCAACATTAGGACCTTTGAACATGATGTTGTACATCTAGAGATAGAAGAAAAAGACTGCATGAAATAAGACTACAAAAATTAGTTTAACTATAGTTTAGCCTATTGCAAGTATACTTATTCTGGAAAATGCTACAGCTACATAAGGAAAATGTCACAGAAAAGAGAGCCTTGACCTTTGGGGAATGCTTGTTGCAGACTAAAAATTCTTATGTGTATTGAAGTTTTTAGTGGAATTAACAAAGAGGTCTTCTGTGTGTAAGATTACTTTAAAACTATGCAGATATCACTGCTATGGGTTTTCAAAGGGCTGTTTATTTTGTCAGGTACTGGAGATTGAACCAAGGGGTGCTCTACCATACCCACAATGCTTTTTATTTTAATTTGAAACAGGTTCTTGCTATGTTGCCCAGGCTAACCTGTGGGAAGCCACCATGTTATGTGACCAGCATTTTCCTCTCCTGATTGGTTTGAGGCACTGTCCATCACTTCCAGTGATCTGGCCACTTTCACATGGCTGTGACAGTAGCCCCCATCTTGAGAATAGTAAAAATGCAACAAATGCGTCTTCATGCGTAGGCGTGCCTTCCTGCAGCGCCATGGGTCAAGCTACACTCACCTGTTCCTTTGTGATATGACCCCTTGCCCTGTTTGGGATAGAATGTTCCATGGAAATGCCCTTTGTGTGTCCCCCTTCTCTTACTCTGCCTGTGGGTGTGGCCTTCCTAGATGTCAGTCAACCTGCTGACAGCAGACATCATGAAGCTAGATTCAGCCCCTTGAAACCTGACCCCTTACCTCATTTGAATGGCTTCTCCTCAATAAAAGGGGTCAGCACCTGCTTGTGGACTCTCTCTCTTTCTGAGGACCCTTAAGGACAGAGGAGCCATCATAGCACCCTCAAAGAAAAAGGTATCTCTGTCTCTTGTGTGGTTATTTCGTGCAGCCCAGTTCCCCTGGAGTGACCCTGAGTGTTTTAGTCACGAGGAATGCGACAGTAACCTAGAACTTGTGATCCTCCTGCCTCAGCTTCTGGAGTAGCTAAGTTTACAGGCATGTTCTACTGTGCTCAGCTTCAAAGGGCTATTTAAAATGTCACTGAGTTCCAAATAGTTTTCCCCTTAGGCTTTCTCTCAGAACAAACACTGAAGTACTACTCTAAACTTATGGTTGTGTCACACAATGTGGATGCTAAAAAAAACATTGTCCTTACACTTTTTTTCTAATTACCTATATTTTAGAGTCTCCCTTTCCTCAAACTTTTATCTAAAAATGCCCTCACTATTTTCCCTTTTTCTCAGATAACCTCCAACTTCCTTTCCTAATCCTTTAGAAAGAGTAGAGGGGTCTGCAGTTTCCCTGACCCCTCCTGTCCGAGCCAGTCAGCACTGCTCTTCTACCTCAGGACACTGGGTGGACCATTTCCTAAGGAGAGAGGGATGGAGGACCAGGAGGAGCAGGAAAGGTTCTTTGAAAAGGACAAAGGTGTTCTGTGGCCCCCAGGTATGAACAGTACAACTCATCATCAATCAACAGCTGCACAACATTTTACCTTTCTTGTTTTGTGTGGGTTTCTCATTCTGGATGACTTCTTAATGTCCACTTCAGTAGTATTTACACATCCAGGCTGGAAATGGAAAAAGAGAGAAACAAAGGAATCTTTGGGTGTGAACTATCTGGCTAGTACTTTCATAAGTGACTCGCTCTCCAGAACCTGAGCAAATGCCATAATGACCCCAGTCACCAGCAGCACCTCCCACAAGGTCACAGCCTCTTCCATCAGCAGTGGACAGTAATGAAATACACAACACCTTTATATTTCTCTGATACCATTCTCAACTCCTAGAGAAATCAGAAAATATACTTAGGTTTTGCATGTAAAGTAGTTTACTGATATTTATAGCTGCTAATGGGACAGACAGAGCAAGAGTATCCAGAAAGGAATGGAGTAATAACCCCTAATGATATCTGCACGCAAATACCTGCAGAAACAGGCTTTCTTTATTAACTATGATACTACTTCTACTTATTTATTTGTTTGTTTGTTTGTTTACTGGTCCTGAAGATTGAATGCAAAGGTGTTGTTCCCACTGAGCCACATACCTGGCACTTTCTTTTTTTTTTTTTTTTTGAGACAGTGTCTTGTTAAGTTAGGGTCTCCCTAAATTGCTGAGGCTGGCCTTGAAATTGCAATCCTCCTGCTTCAGCCTCCCAAATTGCTGGAATTACAGGTGTGTGCCACCACACTTGTCAGAAAACGACACTACTTTTAGATAGCTGCTTGTTTTTCCTAAGTTGGGAAACTAAAATTGCAAGTAGTTGAGGAAGCACAAATCCCACAGTGTATTTTTTTTTAACCTATAACACAAGAGTTTATAGCCAAAAAGAGGAAGATAAAGAAAGAAACTGGTAATCAACTATGCTTCTTCTTTCCCAGGCAGGAGAATCCCTTTAAACAGGAGGGCTGCCTGCTGCTGGCTTTCTGACAGCCTGGGGAGTGTTATTTTGCTAGAATTGCTGGTGGGTCACACAGAAACAATTAGCTGTGAGCCCCCTTTGTACTTGAAGGAAGAGAGGAAAGGTAGGAGGGAAGGAGAAAGGGAGAAAGGGAGTGGGGGGAGGAAGGAAGGAGGAAGAGGAGGAGGATAAAAGGGAAAGACAGACTATGAATGGGAAATATACCTCAAAATTTCCCCCCCAAACAATCCTGGAAGCAGTAGGCAAAGGCTGAGGAATATGAATCAAAGAAGGAGACTCAGAAACACATGGTATTGAGAGCTAGGAAGGACTTCAACCTTTAGAAGTAATTAAAAAGGGATGGTTTACATGGATTGTGTTTCCATGCTTTCAGATTTTTGACCCAGGATTTAGGGATCTCTGGTATTAGTGAAAAAAATCAAGTTGTACATCTCTTCTCAACTATTCAATTTCTTCTCACAGGTTGCAAGAAGATTAAGAGCATGAGATGTTTGTGAAAATGAGTATGAAAGTGTTTTGTGGAGTTGGAATAGAGTTGGGAGGAAGGGCAAAGGGGCAGTGCTGATATGATTAGAAGAATGAGTTGCTTTGTAGAATGAACACATGGAACATTTTCCTAAAAGAACTTTCTCCTTAAAGCACAGGCTTCCTAAGAGAACTTCACCATTTTTTTTTTTTTTTTTTTTTGGTACCAGGGATTGAACCCGGGAACACTTCAACACTGAGCCACATCCCTAGCCCTTTTTATTTTTTACTTAGAGACACAATCTTGTTAAATTGCTTAGGACCTCACTAAATTGACGAAGTTGACATTGATTTGTGGTCCTCTTGCATCAGCCTCCTGAGTCACTTGGATTACAGGCATGCACCACCGTACTTGGCAAAACATTTCTTAAATTATTTTCTACAAAGTTACGTGTAAACTATGGAGACACACACACACACACACACACACACACTATAGTATGTGTGTTAAATAAACTACAAATTTGGTTTGCATATTTAAATAGGAATAAAAATAGCTGTTAAGCATGGTGATCAGCTTGTTAGTATAGAGCAAAGGCAGAGCACCACGCTGGGAAGGGGCACTGACTTACTGAGTGGTAGTGAGCAATTCACTTCCAGCATCAAGCTGATCAGTACCTGATATTCTCAACCTTTCTGTGTTCTATTTAGGCATTAGTTTTATTTTAAAGGGCCCCAGTGATTTTAATATGCAGTCGGAGTTCACAACCACTGATCCAGAGGTAACAAAGATAATGTTTTAAAAATATTAAAGCATTCTGTTTTCATTTCCCTGTTCAATTTCTATTTTATTGCAGTCTTCCTTCCCTAAGCCTGACCCATTAGGGAAGTGAAGACGCTGAAATGCTTCATTCTCCTATTGATATGTCAATACCAATGTATTAAGAGCCAAGCTTGATAAGATAGGTCATACAGATATTCCTCTTTGTGTTGAAGGGTGGGAATGACTAGTATGTGATATTTAAGAAAAGGAAGACATGTCCCTTTGTAAGGTGGAAGGAAAGAAACAATGTTTCTTTTTCTTTTTTTTTTTTTTAAGTTTGCTGAGAGTTTTATTATGAACCTACTCAAAATTTATCACATGCATCTTTTTGGCATCTCTTGAAAGAATCATTTATTTTTCCCCTTTATTCTCTTAACGTGGTGAATTGCATCAGTTCATTTTTTTATTATTAGTTGTTCAAAACTTTACAAAGCTCTTGACATATCATATTTCATATATTTGATTCAAGTGGATTATGAACTCCCATTTTTACCCCGTATACAGATTGCAGAATCACATCAGTTACACATCCACGTTTTTACATACTGCCATACGATGTATGTTGTATTCTACTGCCCTTCCTATCCCCCCTCCCCTCCCCTCCCCTCCCCTCTCTCCAAGAAACAATGTTTCTTATAGGTAGGATTTGCTGCAAGTATCCGTAGCCAAGGGCACATAAATTCTGAGAAGACTAGTAGGTGATTGGAAGCCTGAAGTTAAAACAAAGGCTGCAGATGTGCAGGGATTTCAGGCTGAGAGCAAATGTCTGAAGACAAATCCCAATAGTGAGTGCCAGGGAATGGTACTGTATAGCAGTCCTGGGGACAGACCACCATTCCAACCTGTCTAAAGCAGAAATAACCAGGATCAAGAAAATGTTCTGTGGACGTCTGGCTCTCATTCCCCACTGCACAGATCATATAAACAAAACCTCAATACCTGAAGCTCCACTCCCAAACCACTCTTAGCTGCCAAGAAAGTCTGAGGAAGACAGTAAATGTGATCATCCAAAAGTGACTGAGTTATCTAAACTGGTGATATAAATTATGGCAGTGCATAGAGAATGCTCATTGAAACTATCCTTCAAACAGGTTTCTGAGGAGGAAATAAATCAGTTATAGACAGCATAAGATTGTGTGTGTGTGTGTATGTTATATTTTTACTTATTTGAGGACTCTGAATTAATTGAATTTTAAAATTCTTCCCATAAAAAGCTAGGATTCTAAACCAATTTGACTTCAAATTAAATGGGATAGTTAACAAATGGCATAATGAATTTCACCAACTACTAAAGGCATAAAGTAGAATTTTCCTTCAATATCTGACCTGCAGCCCAAAAGAGAATTAACATTTTTATCTCCAAATTTAAAAAACTATGGCTTTTTAAATTTGATTAATAAATCATTAACAGCTATCTAAAATTCCTACTTGTGTCAATTATTAACAATAGTCATAAGCTAATTGACTGTAAGAGCAAACATCACAGACTGAACCATTAGGTTTGTCTTATAATCCAGCTTCCATCCCTGAAAAATCACATTTGCCAGTTCAAAATTGATCATTAATATCTAAATGGTTAAAATAATATAACCGATAAGCTGGACCTGAGGTGCCAGTCTCAGTGTCCTCAAGTTTTCTGTCATTTCTAAAGAGCCTCTTGAGATAGCAAATGGTTTAGCAGGTCTATGGTACCTAACTTATCTAGGGGATTCTTAAAAATTAAAAAAAAAAAAACTTAGATGGCTGGATGTAGTGGCCCCCTGTAATCCCTGCATTTTGGGAAGCTGAAGCAGGAGGATCACAAATTTGAAAGGGCTGAGGTTGAAGCTCAGTGGTAAAGCTCTTTCCAAGCCATATTCGAGGCCCTGATTCAATCCCCAGCATCGCAAACAAATAAACAGAAAAAAAAAAAAGAACAACAACAAAAACTTAGATGTCCAAGTTTGTCTAATATTTTTTTCTGAATAATTAAGACTTAGCCCTGATAACCTCTGAATAACTTCTTTCAAAAGTCAGGCACTGAGCCAGGTGCTGTGGTGCATGCCTATAATCCTAGCTACTCTGAAGGCTGAGGCAGGAGGATCACAAATTCAAAGCCAGCCTCATCAAAACCAAGGCCCTAAGCAACTCACTGAGACCCCGTCTCTAAATAAAATACAAAATAAGGCTAGGGATGTGGCTTAGTATTAGAGTGCCCCTGAGTTCAATCCCTGGTACCCCCTCCTACCCCTGAAAAAAATGTCAGGCACTATGGTGAATGAAATATGGCAATGATTTTTTTTTTGGCATTCTTTTATTATTCAAGGAATATTTCTTTATGCTTTAATTAATTAATTGTCAGATCTTATGATGCATGATGGTATACAGAAATGAAGGCATGATCCATATTTCAATAACCTCCTAATACAACAAGACCAACAGACACAAAATGGGAACAGAGCAACTAGGTGGAAGCTGACACAGGACATTATATGATAGGAAGTTTCAGACGTCCATTCTCACTGTAGGTTCTTCCCAATAGAGAAGATAAATATGTTTCAAAATTTTATCTTAAGTAATTATTCTTTATCCCAACAAGACCATGCTGTTCTTTGTTATTGAAAAAAAAAAGCAGTTATCTTTTTAAAGCATATATAATAGGTGCCACTAGCTGGCACCAGATTCACATAAAACGTTATGCATAAATTGGTTTTCTACAGAACTAGATATATCTTCTCAATAAGATATAAATAACGTTACCATTATTAAGTAAGCACTCCATAAAATTGTTCAAATATGTACTATTTTCTGGAAACAGTATTAAGTATATAATATTGTTGGACTTAAGAAATAATAAAATGTTATTTACATTGGTCCAGAAT